TTTTTTTCCATAAAAGATTCATTTATAACATAATTCACTTAAACTTCGCAATAAAAATGAACTTTCCTTTTTCATTCATTTCAACGATTTTTTTGTATTTACAGATTTCTTTCAAACTTAAAGTAAAAAATATCAGTCTGAAAAATGTTTCAACTTTTGAAAACTTTTTCCGTATTTATTACACGTCTGTATTTCCAATGTTATTTAGATAATTCTGTTATTACTATCGAATAAGCCAAATTATACTTTCCATCGACAAATAAACAAGACAAAAGGAACCTGTCAGTCAAATCATTTCATGTCGAAACAGTCCTTATGAGAATTGGAATCCATCACCACCAGGAGAAAACATTTTTCAGAAGATAGATATTTTCAGATGAGTGATAATTGATTTGGATCACTGGATAGTCCGGTCGTTCAGCGATAATCAGAGGGGAGGAGATATTTTGTGTGTAGGATAAATGTGTAATACCCCGCTACACCTTCCTCAAGAAAAAACAATTTACGACCATTATTTCGTTGCCAACAGCGTCAGTGAAGCAGAAATCCTCATTCTTGTACAACTAAATTGGATCTTTTATTGGATTATCTTGCACTAAAACATCAATCCTATGTATCAATTAATGTATCGGACCATTTGAGACACCGGTTGTTCCGAAGTTAGGTTTTAGCTTCTAATCAATTAGGTTGGAATTGGCTGGTTAGAAAATTGATTTCCTGGAATATGATGAGTTTTCAGAAACAAGGCTCTATGATAAAAACAACCATATATAGGTCACCAACACCATTAGCAATAGTAAAACCTTAATTAGCGATAGCAACCATAGCTATGGTTACTTCATCCTCAAAATCCGTGGGTCCTGTTCTCGATTTACATGTATCTTCGTTGCACCCCTTGAATATGTCAATTCTGGACAGATTTTAACTCATTAACGCCTGAAGTTCCATAGTGAACTATTCCAACCTTTGAATTGGAAGGGTTCAAATGTGTCTTCAAGGGTGAATGAGTTAAAGGATCTTTACTGACTCCCTACTGGGTAGACTATAGTCTGATGTCTGTGATGAACAACAAAAATACCACACAGCAGCATATAGGTAAAACCAACAGACATTAGAGCCGAGTCTAGCTACTTAAATGTAATCTTCAAGGAACAAGTATCAGTCTAGCAAATTGGTCAGAATTTTAAACCTGAAACCAATCAAATAGCTTACTGCAAGCCTTCAAATTCATCACGACATATTCTAGTGCATAGGCGTGCAGAGAAGATATACATGTGCATCAAGATCAGAGTAGATTACTTTGATTTCGAGGATCTAGGCAATGGTAATTATATATAATAATTTTAGCAACAGTTACCTTAGCAAAGATTTTTCATCTATAAAATTTGTCAGATTAAACAAAAGTAAAATCTCAAGCTAGCAGGCAAATTATCTAGAGCTACAATTAATGTACAACAACATATTTTGAAAGTCACAAATGTAAATCAGTTTTCGTGAAGCGAGTCAGTAATTTTATTAAGCAATCTTGGTGCAACCCATGCCGATCATCATGTACTGCTCAATATTGCACAGCTTGGTGGGGTTGTTTACTCATTCACCCCTGAAATTTCATAATGAATTATTTCAACTTTTGAATTGGAAGAGTTCAAATGTGTCTTCAGGGGTGAATGAGTTTAGGTAATAGCTGTTGCATGTACTCTGAAGAATAGGATGTAGATCAGGAACTGCCTAAGGACTTATGTGATGAATATTCATGAGCCTCTAGATCTTTTTATTGAGTCTGTTTTTCCTTAAGTCATAATGACTACCGTATAATTAAAAAAAAAAAAAACCCAGAGATATCGGTAGATTTCCTGAAATTGTTGTTCGCGAGTGGAATTATGTTCACGGTGTGGCACTATAAACTGATAGTGTCGGCAATAGTTGTGAAATCTATATATAATATATATTTTTTTTATCACATGTGAATATTTCCATGCTTATTTACTAAACGTGAAAAACGCAGACATTTCCACATTATGAAAATTTCCATTTTTACTCTATGTAAAGGTTGAGGGTCCCAATCTCTGTGGCCGAGATATTTTTTGTGAAAGAGGAATCGACACATTTTTGAACAAATTGGAACTCCATCTTTCTCTGCAATACACCACAGACAGTACTAGGGTCCCCTATATGGGTCACATGTACACTATGGTTGGAATTAAATTGACAGTAGACTATATAGATCTAGACCAGTACTGGTCATGATCACTGCTTGGTAATTTAACCATATAACATCTGAAAGTGCTTAGGTACCGGAATTTAGTTTTGTGTCAAACATTCAAAGTTTTGTTACAGAGTTAAAAGTTTGTATTTTTTTCAGGCTGCATACAGAAAACCACCATGAAATATAAGCAATAAGTCACAAGGTTTTAAGCCAACTTCTCTGTAAAACAAACACTCTGTCTGAAAGTTGTGAAGGTAGAAAGGCCAAATTTCTGAGTTATAATACCTGTAGAATGGCTATCAACGATGAACTTGCTTTATCCATTGGAAGAGGTCTATTGTGTCGAATGATCTAGATATTCTTTGGGCAGATTTAACATCTGCTGAATTTACATCCCTATTGAATTGCTATTTGTGCAACATTGACATTGAAATGACGTTCTAAAATTAAGAAAATATCATCATATTCATTTCTTTTTACAAGCTTGGATAAAAAGCTTGCCACCATTGGATACTGAAATGTTAAGATTCTGTATCAGTTACTGGAAGGTTCAGCAGAGGAGTTTCCATTTACCAATTTGTGGGATAATGTTCTTCAGAGAGGTCTGCAGAGGTACACAAAGCCTCGGCTAGGACTGATTTAGTGGTGGAGCGGACTGTGGTGGAATGTTAACAGGACATGTCTAGTCTAGATCTACAAGGGTACACAAAGCCTCATCTAGGGGCTGTAGTGGCTGGCATGAGCAGTTTATAACAAGATGTTTTATTCCTCCAGTGATCAATGCTTCAGGACCAAATATCAAATTAGTGTGCCCCATCTGACAAGCCTGGACATTGATTGGGGTTCAGAGGCTGGCACCAGTCCTCAGGAGTGTCTGACACAACAATCTAATTACCTCCGTCCACCTCATCCACCTCGGCCAAATGTCTCCATCTGTTTCCGCTGTAATTAAGTGCCAGTACAACACCAAAACCTTGTCTTCCTCATCAGAGACATGTCAGCTTCATCGTGCCAAACTAACATCTAAATGTATACTCAACAGCTGTCCGTCTAAATAAGTATTACATATTTTTTCTTTTTGAAAAGTGTTATCATCTAAAGTAAAATTAAAAATCAAGGCAAAAGTTTCTATTTTTAGTTTTATACACATTAAACAGTCATCAAGCTCATGGATATGACATGGTTTTTCAGGTACCAGGTACATTCTGGTTGATCCAACAAGCTTATATCCATCTAATTGTGCATGTTTAAATAAGCAAACACTCCCACTTCATTAGCGTCCACTTGAGAATCTCCTATTCCTGCAAGTAACACGTAATTACACAAGATTATTCTTTCCCCTAACAACATGTTTTTATATCCAGTTTCTTTCCCTTGACAGCAACAGAAAGCAACTGATCATACCATGATCTCCTTACATCAACAGGGAGCTTTGGAACTCACAACTATAGAGAGCAACTGTTTTTTCTTTCCTTACAGCCATAGAGAGCAACTGGCTTTTCTCTCCTCACAGCCATAGAGAGCAACTGGCTTTTCTCTCCCCACAGCCATAGAGAGCAACTAGCTTTTCTCTCCTTACAGCTATAGAGAGCAACTAGCTTTTCTCTCCTAACAGCCATAGAGAGCAACTGGCTTTTCTCTCCTCACAACCATAGAGAGCAACTGGCTTTTCTCTCCCCACAACCATAGAGAGCAACTGGTTTTTCTTTCCTTACAGCCATAGAGAGCGACTGGCTTTTCTTTCCTTAAAGCCATAGAGAGCAACTGGCTTTTCTCTCCTCACAACCATAGAGATCAACTGGTTTTTCTCTCCTCACAGCCATAGAGAGCAACTAGCTTTTCTCTCCTTACAGCCATAGAGAGCAACTAGCTTTTCTCTCCTCACAACCATAGAGAGCAACTGGCTTTTCTCTCCCCACAACCATAGAGAGCAACTGGTTTTTCTTTCCTTACAGCCATAGAGAGTGACTGGCTTTTCTCTCCTCACAACCATAGAGATCAACTGTTTTTTCTCTCCTCACAGCCATAGAGAGCAACTGGCTTTTCTCTCCCCACAACCATAAAGAGCAACTGGTTTTTCTTTCCTTACAGCCATAGAGAGTGACTGGCTTTTCTCTCCTCACAACCATAGAGATCAACTAGTTTTTCTCTCCTCACAGCCATAGAGAGCAACTGGCTTTTCTCTCCCCACAACCGTAAAGAGCAACTGGCGTTTCTCTCCTCACAACCATAGAGAGCAACTGGCTTTTCTCCCCTTCACAAACATAGAGAGCAACTGGCTTTTCTCTCCTTACAGCCATAGAGAGCAACTGGCTGTTCTCTCCTCACAGCCAAAGATAGCAATTGGCTTTTCTCTCCTTACAGCCATAGAGATCAACTGGCTTTTCTTTCCTCACAGCCAAAGAGAGCAACTGGTTTATCTCTCCTTATAGCCATAGAAGCAAGTACAAATGTAGCTTTTCTCTCCTCACAGCCAAAGAGAGCAACTGGTTTATCTCTCCTCACAGCCATAGAGAGAAATTGGCTTTTCTCTCCTCACAGCCATAGAGAGCAACTGGCTTTTCTCTCCTCACAGCCAAAGAGAGAACTCACAGCCATAGAGAGCGACTGACTTTTCTCTCCTTACAGCCATAGAGAGCAACTGACTTTTCTCTCCTCACAGCCATAGAGAGCAACTGACTTTTCTCTCCTCTTTCTCTCTCTTCATTTCTATTTTTGGTGTTTTTTTGTACAGCTGACTGCTTCTTGGCCCTTGCCTGTCCTAAAATTTGACTCACAATCACACTGTACTTACTCGCTCCGCCTGTGGAATCGTTGTCGAAGGCCCGGAGTGGGGAATCAAGTTTGACAGTTGCTTGGTCCTCACTGATAGTCCCTTTAAACACAGGCACTCCTTTCTTGTTAGTCCTCTGGGAACGTATCACAGGTTCATAGAGGTTGGGCTCTGTAATAAAACACGGCAGTTAGTATTACTTCCTTCTGATCAACAAAAACAGCAACTAAACAAGAAGAAACATTTGTTACAATTATATTTTCAGTATACCATCATTAAATGGCCGAAAAATACAACCATCCAACGGACAAAGCAAAATTATGACCAGTTTTAAGGTAAAGAGTACGACTAAATCAGTTAGAATCGTAGAGAAGAGTTCCACTCAGAGATGTTTTACTTGGAGTGTTCTCCCTTTTATATAGAAGATGAAGCAACCAATTGCAATAGGGCAATAGGAGTTTTTCTGGCTTAGAGCAACTTCCCAAAAATAGTGATTAATTGGCTTCACAGCCCAAAAATATGATAGTCATGTCCTTAATGGCAACCAAAAATACATGTACCCTCAAAATACAAATATTTCACTTTTCAGGGGTTTCAATTTAAAGGATTTCAAATTGCGTGTATCCAAAGTGACAGTAGCCAAGAAATATCTGTAGTTTAAGGGTGGTTTTACTGGCTACAATCGACTTCAAATTAAACCCCTGATAATTAAGGCTGAAAATCCATAAAGTTTTATACATCATTGAAATATATTTTTTTAAAGTAAGTATGGTACGTAATTGTTTTGTTTTACAAAGCTTTTTAGAATTCTGACAAAAGTTGCTATGTAGTGTCATTGAGTAAATGAGCTGTAAACAAAAAAGGATCTATCCAAATCTATTTATAGTCAGTAGTTATAAGACCACAGGTACCAATATATTCTATAGCTAGCAGAGTACTTTAACGTCCATATGATACTGTACAGACAGTCACTAATGAGGTTAACTCATTAACCCCTGAAATTTCATAATAAACTATTCCAACCTCTGAATTGGAAGAGTTTAAATGTGTCTTCAGGGGTGGATGAGTTAATCAAGACTACTATTACGCCAATTAAGTACCGTTACATGGGTGTTTAAATGACTGGTTTTTCCATGTAACTGTCGAACATCAGAAATTTAATCTGTCGAACCATAACTCTGTCGTACGACTCTACTTCTGTGATTCATGTGCGCTGACCTGCGCCCATGTAAACACCCCTTGTAGGTCGCGGGTCAAAGCACAAATATCACAGTAGCATAGTCGTATGACAGATCATAAAACGGGTGACTAGGGCATTTCATTCTAAACTAAACTAAATCTGTGTACAATTGTTAAATACCTAAAATATTGAGACAGCTGTTCTAGTTTATTTACGCTACCTGTCTATAAAGATGCAAATTACACGGCAATTCTTTCCATACCAGATGGAATGCTAAATAATTCATGAAGAAAAGAGACCTTAAGTGTTTGAATTCAGTACCAGGAGTGAAATTCCTTGGATATAAACATGTAAAGCAGTAGCGACAGACACATATAATCTGGACTCTACCATAAAACCGTTCATTAACTCATTGACAGCTGAAATTTCATAATGAACTATTCCAACCTTAGAATTGGAAGAGTTCAAATGTGTCTTCAGGGGTGAATGAGTTCAGAAAGTACTAGCTTAGGGGAGTTCATTTAAAAATGACATCATTGTAGTGATGTATTGTTTAACTTGTGGGAAGAGTTGACGAGGTACAAAACCGACAGATTTTATAAAGTTGACAGTTGGCAGTTCTCACATGCTCACTCATCAGCTCCAGGAAATTAAATAAAGTCAATAAAGATCATTAATAAATGTATGTATCTCATTTCTAAGGTAAGGTGCAATAAAGTAAAAACCCAATAAAGGCCCACAATACTTATCTCAACTTTAAGGTAGGGCATAATGCTGTAAGGACCACAGGTAAAAATATGTTTTGTATAAAATATAACTCCCAATATGTAACGCCCCCTGAATTTGTTCTCACTGACATGTCTGTACACTTACATATGACAAATTAATTGTACATGGGTGTATTTATATATAGAATTTTGTATCAATGAGCTAGCGCTAGAGTGGGAGGTAATGTTACTCAAATCAAACCACACAACACTATTTTACCCACGGAATTGGTTGTATATATTGACTAATAAAGCTTTAAGTTATATGTTCTTTCAACAAGAATTAAGGTAATTATTTTTTTTCCAAATAATTTAATTTCCACATCAAAATATCTGAACTGGACTTAAATAGAGTATCTATGTTATCACCATTATTCAGACTAAACCCCTATAAATGATGCAAGGTATTTCTATATGAAGCTGAACATAAACATTTCCACAAATTTGAGATAACTTTCACTTTACTTTTTTCCTAATCAGTTCTAAGTAAGTGCTACATTTACTGAAAATTCGTTGAAAAATAAAAATAAAAATCTAATTTCAACAGTTGCCGGAGCCTATACTCAAACAAACTGTAATTATAGATGGCAATTTTTATTTGTCTTGTAAATGATACTGTGTATTGGTTCAGGTCCAACAATTACTGATGTCTTTGACTCACGAACTGAGGAGTTTAAATGATCACAGGGGTACTTATTTCGCTGATGAGATTTCCATGGTATCATTTAAATTCAAGTAAGGTTTTTATTTTCATGTCAAGTAAAAAACTATTATCGTTGTCTATAACCTTTGGAAGATGAGACAGTTTTGGAAGGACAAATTATTGGCAGGCAGGTGACATTGATAGGTTTTCCGTAACGAGTGCTTACAGCTCGTAATGGATCCGTCAACCGATTACGATCTTTACAAAAAAACCAGAAATGTCAACAGATCAATTCTTAGATTTCCCTTGAAATCTCAAATCTTGTAAGGATTTTATTTTTTCTTCTTTGAAATACCAGCTGTGTATTTTTACTATGGTAACATTGCATTGGAAATTCAATTTTCTCAGAGATCTGTCCTTGGCTGTGGCGACATTAATTATAGTGTAATTACAAAAAAACTTCTCTGCAGGGCAGATATCAATGGCGTCTAGTGGTACCATGTCCTGATCGTATACAGATATAGGTGTAAGTGAAAACTTTTAAATCTAAACAAAACCCCTGATGGTACCATTACAACTGAAGATTCACAGTTGATAACACCCTTTCAGACAATTCTAGCCCTCTTTTTAACATGTGTATGATTGAATAAAAAAATAGAATGACAGTTAACGACGGTGGAACTGTGGATGTGCCACCAGCCCTAATTATTTTTTAAAGACGCAGTTGCATTCTTTGTCTAGCTTATATTATCTCCCACCTGCTTGAAAATCAGATTTTTAAAATGATCTTGCAATTGAAATAATTAAAGTTTCACATTTTTGGAGACTTACTAATAACTGTTGCTTTTTTGGACTACATAAGTTTAAATATGTTTACAATGCACACATACACCAAATACTTTTTATTTCAGATTTTTTTTTTTATCATTTTCGATAAATCATATTAAAATCTGAGATCCTGTGTACATACAATCTTTATAAAAAAATGTTTTGAAAAAAACAAAAAAAATGTTTAACTTAAATTTGTATACCATTGATAGCTTTTTTAAGGACAAAAATATAAGATGAAACGTGATTTTTGTTTGCAGCAAATTGATATATAGTTACCGGTATTGTAAATATGTAGTCAAATATCTCAAAAATACCTCACAGTAATACATTTGATATAACAAAATTTAACATTAACTGATGTTTTGTGTCAAAAATAAAAACGGACACTTTAAGTTGCAAACTTAATAAGATAGGTCCTGGACCATTTTCTTTATTTTGCAGCAAACTGACAGTTTATGTAAATGTATTATCTAGTATCCCAAAAATACCTCAAGGTAATAAATTTGATATGAGGAAATCAAATATTAATTGATGTTTTGAGTCTAAATTAAAAACAGACACTGCAGGCTTTATAAGAGCTGTTGTCCTCGAGCATACATTTATTAACATGTACTGGGGGATCCCTGAAACCTATTTTTGTCCAAGGACTGATCGGTCATATGCAGTCTAGACAATTCAAAATACCATATATAATGGCGTCTGACACGGAAATAGGAAGGAGAAAATAATGTCCACCTGTACAGAAACTAAATATGTAATGAGGAAGGTAAACACCAGGTGCATTGGACCTGCACCCAAATAACCCCTTCCAGAGGTACAGAACTTCTGCCCCTCCCACTATTTAAACATATTACCTCTGACCTCTTCGCTACAGCCTCTTCAATTTACTCTCTATAAAACCTGAAGTTATCAGAAAGCCATATGCGATCATTACCGGTACATGTAAAATAAAGAACCAACTAATAAACCATAATTGAATGAAGTTGCTGGTAGGGCTTTGCATTTTATCTGTATGGTATACTGTGCAAGCATTTCACAAACCGGATAGAAATAATTTTCCTCAAAAAAAAAATGTTACTTTTGTAAAATTATTTAAATTAATGTACATTAATTCTTCAATGTAGTTATATTTATAACTTAACAGATTGTTGAAGGTATTAAACTATATATATATATGTGCACATCTATCAATTTGATGAATTGTTCAATATGTTTTAATTGTCATAAATAAATTATATATCCATTTCAGTACAATGGTTTTCAACCTTTACCTATATGAACATCAGCGAGTACATGTACAACTAGAACACTGACAGGTCAGTAAGGGCCCCGTCTTGTGGCAATATATCCCCCATAATCATCAAGAAGCAATCTGCCCATATAGCTGAGCTTGACGTTTGATATTTGGACTTCAAAAAGAATCGCAAGGAAGCAAAATATACATTTTACATGTACTATGATGTGAGTCTTGTTTCCTTCCACCTCCATATTTGCTGGGCTAACAGAAATGTAAATACCGGTGCAATACTCATTTGTTAGCTTTGATTTGTTTTATTTCACCTTATATAACTCCTCCATTAAGAGCCAGGGTCAAAGTCAGAGATCCACTTTGTCTTTGACCTTTGGACCCAAATGACCTTGACCATTAACCCAGTGACCCTGATCTTTGGTCAGTTGACTTATTCTTTAATTCCGACCAACTTTGCTTCTTAATATCATAACAAAATGTTCATCAGTGAAAAATACAACA